CAGCTCAGCTAATGTGAGTTTGAGCTAACTCAGGGGTCAGATTAGCACACCAGCAGCAGCATATCTTTCATAGCCATTCCTCCAGTCTTTTAAACAGCTGAGAAAAAAAGACTTTAAAAGCATGTTAGGGTGTATACTCAGCAGCAGAGAGGGGTGCAGGGTTGAGGTGGGACGTTTGAACGCTGTGTGGACTTCTAATCTGATTCCCAGTCAGCTCCAACTGTGAACGGTGTGAACTGCAGTTTCCAGAGAGAACAGGATACGGTGATAATGTAAGAGGAACCGCTCCCTTCCTTGCTTCGGTTTCCTGAGAAGAGTCTGGCTGCCTGCCGACAAGACCCCACCCACCCAACCGTTCAGCAGAGTGAAGAGACAGCACGACCCTTTCTGCAAACTAACGATTACTAAATGGACAATTTTGTGTTCATCCAGCACGTAGTTCAGATAAAAACACTTTCAGATGATCATGACAGATATTTGACTTTCGTGTGCTTCAGACAGTAACTTTCTATTTTACTTTTATTTAAAAGTATTTGCCCCCTTCCTGACTTCTTATTTATTGTACATATTTGTCACACTTACATATATTATACTCATAATATTAGGCAAAGATATCCAAAGAGCTATCTGAACCCTGTGTGCAAAAAGTAAGTTTTTGAAAAGCTACACTCAGACCTGATGAACCAAGAAATCACAAAGTCTGATAAAATGAAGTAGCTAAAAGATCCCATAAAGCAAAAGACAGCATGTTGATTGATTGATTGATTGATTGATTGAAGTAGAGTCTTTGGGACTTCATTGGACCATGGTGAAAGCCATTCTCCACAAAGGAGTGGGTGACACAGTTAAAAGTCAGATGTGGCGGTGGTGTGATGATCTAGGGGTGCTTTGCTGTTTCAGGACCTGACCAACGTACTGTCATTGATGGAACCATGAAGTTTGCTCTACAAGAAAATCCAGCTCAGTTCATGCCCTGAAGCTTAAGTGCACTCGGGTTATTCAGCAGGACAGAGACCCAAGACAAACCAACGAGTCCACCTCAAAATGGTACAAAGAAAACCAACATTAAGGTTTTGGATGTTTTGAAATGTCCTTGTCAAAGTTCGACCTTAAAACTGATCCAGATGCTCTGGAATGACCATGAAAAGCAGTTCACGCTCGACAATCCTCAAACTGGCTCAACTGGAAAGACCAGTGGGCCAAAACTCCTTCACAGTAGTTTCAAAGACTCATTACATTATTTCAAATGCTTGATCGCACTTCCTGCTCTCAAAGCTGCCACAACCAGT